CACACACACACACACACACACACACACACACACACACACACACACACGCACTCACGCACACACACGCACACAGAGGGGAGGAAAAGACCTGAGGCCTGCCATCATTGATTGAGATCCGGAACAATACGAGCAAAAGAAAGTGCCCGATTACAGGCAAAAGAAATAAAAACCAGTCGGCCAAACAAGGCCAAATGGACAACTACGATGTCTTCTCTACATGTGACACTTTCGCTGCCCATCCGTTTCAATTATACACTCGGAACTCTGGCAACGTACCGGTAGCCTCGGTCGGCCTACTCTAGTACTGACTGATTACTCACTTGACATTCCGGGGGTAGACCTGAAATCTCCGCTAGATTAGACCTGAAATCTCCGCTAGATCCTGTTTCAATCTTCTTTCTTTGAGATCCCGCCACGAATACGCCTTGGGCATGCAAGGCATACTCTAGACACACAAGTCCAAACAAAGAGAAAAAAACGTAATCAAAGAGAAGCTAACCGAGTGCGGGATTGTACGGAAAAGCGACGGGGAGGGAGAACAGAATCAAGCGAGAAAAGACCATCTCTCACCGCGTGGTCGGATCAGTAACGCGCAGTACAAAGCGTTGGGCGACGAGGGACGTGAACGGGGAAGAAATGGTCGATTTACGTCTTCAAAGCAGGAGGCGGCGGGAGAGTTTCGATTAAGGTTGGATTTGATCAATAGCGTTGTACGATAGACATGGGGTGAGATATGCGGGAAGAATATTTCGAGTCTTCTTCCCACTTCGCCTCACTGCAAACAAGCAGGCAGCCTACGGCGGAATATACAGAGCATTCTCAAAAAAAAGATGCGGCCATGCAGCGTTACCCCTCGCCCCCCCCTAGGCCTGCAGATCGATAACCCACCCAAAACGACGAATCAGTCAGTTCTCTCACTCACTCTGGGAACCGCGTGGAGAAGCGAAGACCACGTAACGTAATGATGGTTCGGCGTCTTGCCGCTCTTTTCTTCGGGATACCCTTTATATCCCTCCCTTCCGCCAACCCAACGTTCTTGCTGGGCGATGAATCATATCATTGCGTGAGGGCCCACTGGCAACACGACATCATCTCTGGTGCTCTCTCCCTCTCGCCTGACCCCCAAAATATCATGTGCACAGCAACGATATTTTTTGCCGCGCCTTGCACGCTCGCTGCCTGTGAATCTTTACGGCGCCTTATTGCCTACCAATGTAGAAACAAACACACTGGCTCGTTATTCCTCATTAAACACAAAATAGTCGAGAAATGCTGAAACACAACATCAGCAGAAAATCATAGGGAACTCCATACACACCCCTGACCCCGCTCTCACGCCGCTCTTCACTTCGCCTTCGTTGAAAGCCGTCAACGGAGAGGGGTTCCCACTCCCCCGCCTCCCCCCCTCTCTCCTCACGCCGCCAACGGCCGAGGATTCCCACGTAAGCCGGCCGCCGTATAGAGAGAATTTCCAATAACACACACAGAAGCCGAAGCCAGAAAGGATGGGACCCAAAACTCACCCCACCGTGCCACACGTTCTCTTACCTGTGACCGGTTCCCTCTGAGCGCGTTTACCCCACCGCGCCCTCTCAATCGCACGCGCGTGGATGCTCTCAGCCCTGTGAAGAAAAATCGCGAAACTAAATAAGAAAAATCCATCTAACAAGGTGAAACTCTACAGCTACTTGTGAGCACAAAAGTCGACATCAACAACGGCTCGTCTCCCTTGAAATATACCAACCAAGAGAAGCAGTGTTCCGGGGACCAGGAGAAAGAGGACATGCGAGCCAAGAGGAGTTGGTGACAGGATGATCGGTAAATAGCAGCAAAGAATCAACACTCATCAATCAACTCAAGATTACCCATCAATAAATCCCGAGCCGATATAGCAATCAATCAATGAATCAATCAAACACCAATTGTGACAACATCACATCAATCAGGAGGCCTTCAGCTCCATCCGTCGATGAGCAGACCTGGGGACGCCTGGAGCCGCGGCAACCGACTCGCGATCCCCGGAAACCCTTTCACCCGACACCCTTTCCTGCATGAACTGTTTCAGCTCATCATATAAAACTAAGATCAGCGCCGCGCCCGTCCCTCGGACCATATTCGAAAATGCACCCTTGAAAAACCCTGAATATCCTTCACGTCTCGCGATAGTCCTCCAGCATTCCAACGTGCTGGAGTACTGCACCTCGTTGGCGCCAGATTGCATCATCATGCGATGCCTAACGGTGTCAAACGGATAAGCAACAAGGCCCGCGGCAGTGGTAACGACCTGCGCGATGGCCCACTTTTGCCAAAACGGAAAGTCGTCCCGCAGGTTCCCCAGCGGGCCACCCGCACTGACCCCCTTCCCTGCCCCCCCGCCATGACCAAGAGCCCGCTTCTCGCCCGCCAACACCCCTTTAACAGTGTCAAAACCGCCAAAATAGACAGCCCTGTGCACTATGATGCCGTGAATCGAGGCGGGAAAGCCTCTGTAGAGTCCCTTGATCCCCTCTTTTCTGTAGATAGTCCGGAGAAAGTGCGATAGACCATTGAACTCCCTCCTCCCGCCGTGGCGCAAGTCCGCCGTGTCGGCGGCGAGGCGCGTGTGCGCGATGTCCAGAGGGTAGAGAAGAAGTAGGCTTGTAGAACCCGCGGCGGCGCCTGCGACCAGATTGCCCAGGCAAAATTTCCAAAAACTGGACTTCGACGGATCGTAATCAGGCACAAGAAGACCTCTGTACAAGTCTTTAAATGCAAAATTGAATGCCAGAGAGGGGTAGTACCGCAACACCCCGCTTCCGTTGCCCCTCCACAGGCTAAGAAATCCCTCCTCCTTCGTCACTCTCAGGATGCAATCCACCATTCCCGAGTACTGCCCCTTTCCGCCTTGCAGAACACGGAGGTTGCTGTTCTGCGTTTGCAGCAGCAGCTTCGCTCGTTCCACAGGCGCTACTATCGTGTGAGAGATGCCTCCTAGGATGGCTCCAGCAAGCAGATCTCTTGGAAACGACGACCAAACGGATTTCTCTTCGCCATCGCCGGAAGAAGAGGAGGGAGAAGAAGCAGACTCCGGTGCACACGTCTCCGGCGACATACATGATGATGGCGACGACGATAATGGTGATGACGACGACGACGATGATGGTGATGACGCTAAAGGGGAGGAGGAACAAGAGGGTGGAGAAATAACGTTGGCGATGCTGCCGAACGACGCACGATTCCCGCCATTTCTTGTTGACGTTACCGCGCCACCACCAACTACCGCGGCAATCAACGAGGATTTCATATGAAAGACGTCTCCTCTCGCGCTGCCGCTTGAGACACCCACAAGTGGTCTCGTCGCTGAAGCACCCTGATTGTCTCCCATAGCACTCGTCGCCTCCCACCACTCGTGGACTACTTACCCCCTTAGCGCCCAGTAGCACAACAATTCCTTTTCGTCTTCTTTTTAACCAGAGAACTACACCGCCAGGACTGCACAATCATCATCTAACGATCCACCCGCACAAGATGGCAATCATTCACCTTCCCTTTCCCCTCGCTGCAGTCCCTCCTCCCCTGTCGTCCTCGACCAATTCACTCCGCCCTCCGCCCAGCTGACCAAGCAACACCTTTTATAAGATACTGTACTGTATAATATACCACCAAGCACGCGACCGATCGAAAACACCTTTTTCTCAATTACTGAAAGCGATAGGATGTTGATCGACAATCAGATGCTCCCGCGGTCTTCTTGGGCAGAGAGACGCGTCATCTAGATGGAAAAAGGGGATCGGAGAGAGAAGAGAGGGAATGATGAGAGAAGAGAGACAGCACGAGAGAGGGAACGACAGAGAAGAGACAGGGAGACAGACAGAGAGAGCGCTTGCCTCTTCCTCGATCAAATGTCGATCGGCCAGAGAGAGTAAATTACTGTAAGTGTGAGAATGACGGGAACAGCGCAAGTGTGCGCCTCTTGTTCTGCCCGCCTCGTTGTTCGTCGTCCATTACAGGACACAAGTTAAAGAATTGAGGCGGCAGAATCAATGACAACACAATAAGAGGGAGAAAGATAAGAATTCCGCCCAGGTGAGGAATCGGCCGCACCTTCGCACAAACCACCACAACGCGGCAGGCTAACCGCTGGCCACTACACACGCGTCCGCGCCCGTAGGTACGGAAATCGGCCACACAATCAAAAGCGATATCTCTAGCGAGACCAATGAAGGGCGCGATCACGTCCCAGCTGATGACATGGTACTCACCGGCTTTTCCCTTCCACAGACACGCACGCACGCACACACACATACACACTCATGAACGCCAGGTCCTACACGCAGAGAAACGCGCACAGAAGCGACGACCCTGCAGCAGAGCTACTGCATTTCGAGCGCCAGTTACAAAACCGAGCCAGCCCCGATGCCAACGAATAGCAACAAGCAGGAGACGTCGCAACTTCAGCGGGCACACACCAATCGATCCGATCAGTGGACGACAGATCGATGATGGACAAATCGGGCACAAGTGGCGTCGTCATTCCCTGTGCTCCCCTCTCCTTTGTCTGATGTCCGCTCGGAATGGACGGACGAATGGATGGGAAAGAGACGGCGGTTCCACTTCCTCCGGAAATGCAGGTCACCCGCACCGTTGTGGGCAGATGATGCAGCGGAATTCTCCGTACACCATAGCCAGCGCGAACCGCGCGCGCGTGCGCGCGCACCTCTCGACGACCGATACGCTACCAGCCAGAATGCAGGCCTGAGCACAGCACTTGCCACGCGACTGCGCATGCACGTGCAGTCCCCCGCCTGCCGTCCGTCCCGTGACTTCGCTGTTCGGTTCGTAGGGTCGTCGCGTGACACTCGCGGAATACACCACGTCGGAGCCGTTCGTTCTCCTTTCCACCTCCGCATTCTGGCGTATCTTCCGTTTCGCCCCGTGCCTCCGCGCGCGGGAGGATGCGCCCCGTTGGACGCAGGGCGGATGCTCTTCCTTTCTTTTTCTTCTTTTTCTTCTTCTTCTTCGTTTGTTTTTATAGAAACAATTGTTGAAATGCCCCTGAAAGTTTGGGTACCTCGTCGGATACCCCTAAAAGGCATGGATATTGTGCTAGGCGACCCCTCCAGTGTTGCCTCTGTATTGCACTGCAGCGAGTGGGGGCATAGATAATGTGAAATGCCCCTATGACACTTATGAAACTTTGTGAAATACCCCACGTCCCAGTTGGACCGGTCGTCTCTTGCATATACCCCTACCGGGCCTCGAAACTTTGTCTATATGCCCTGGTATTTTAGGCCGTTGGACGCAGCAGATGGCAAACGAAATGCACGGCACTTCACTGGCGGTTGGGATCGAACCGCAGCTGAGTTTGTCAACTTACCTTTGTTTATATTCCGGTTGGGCCCTCCCGGGCTTCGAGCTGGCAACCTGTCCCTTACTGGGACTTCTGTGGTTTCGATCCGGTGACGCATTGGTCCTTTTGTGAGGTGGCCTCCTTTGGGTTCGACCCTTCGATCTGCTCTTAAGAATTGGTCCTTCTTCTTGACTCCGCGATCCGACCTGCAGGCCTATGGGTTCGAATCGAATTGTCTCCATAGACCCTCAGCTATGGCCCACTGGGATTGGACTCCATAGGGTAGCAATTGTTTAACGCCTTCTTCGTACAGGCTCTGGCCGGCCCTTGACACTTTGAGTGCTTGTTCGTTTCGTCTTAAATAGTCTGTTTGGCACATCAATCGACACTCAATTGCATGACGACCCTTGATGATTCCGGAACCAGCTCCGGATGAAACGCGTAGGGTCTTGTCGGAGTAAGTTAACCTTGCTTTGTTTGATACGGACATGATATCCATCTTCGGGTTCAACTTTATTGTCGCGTTCCGAAGACATCGATGTGTCAACTCTTTACTCTCCCCTCTTCCCTCACTCGCTTTCTTTTCATCTCTGACAGGGATGTTTTCTCTCTCATTTATGGTGTGTGTCATGCATGTCTTTGTAGGCCATGTGGTCGTTGTGTACTTATGGTTCTTGCCTGCTCTTAGGCTATATGCCGGTATGGTTTATTCTTTCAATCATTTGTGACGTATGGATGATTAATCTCAACTTCATCCTTATGATTTGGAACCACCATAGCAATTACACTACGTGTGTGTGACTCGTGTCTAGGTCACTTACTTTTTGATTGCGCTTTTTGTACGTTTGCGTTTGTGTTTTTTGCTGATTGTGCTATCCAATTGTTTTTCTTAAGATCATCTGAGATGGTTGGGATTCCGGGAAGAGATGGGTGTTTCCAATGTGGATCCACGAGTCATTGGGCCCGGGAATGCCCTCATCGAGGGTCAGGGTTTCGTCTGTCTGCCACAGGTGCTAACGCCATCCCGACTGAACCGCCACTCTTGGCGTTGCCCACCGTTGGCGCTTCGTCTTCCGCTTCAGCTGCTAATAACTCATCCGCTTCCTATGGTTCATCTTCGTCTAACTGTAGGGGCGATAACACGGCGGGATTTGGTAACGGTTACCAAGCTCGGTCGAATTGGTGGGCAAGAAATCAGGAAATACTTGATAAGGTCTATAGTAAGTATGTAGAGGATATCGAATTGGTAGCTAAGAAGAAGGAGGAGGAGGCAAAAGAGAAGGCGAGACGAGATGAGGAGGAGAAACTGTCATTTTGGAGAAAAAAACGAGAGAAATTTCAAGAAGCGATGGGAAGAGCGATTGGAGAAGAGGCTAGATGCGTTAGGTATTGAGAAGGGGAAGTCGATTGAGGCAGTTAGCGGGGTTTCTGCCGATGAGGAAACTCTTCGGCTTCGGAAGGAGAACGATGACCTTGAGCGTAAGTTAAGTGAGGCTCTATGCCCTGGCAAGGAGGACCGTGTTATGTACCAGCAAAATGAGATTATGGAGCTTCGAAGGAAGGTTCGAGAGAAGCATGTGAATGAAGATGAGATCATCGCTTTGACAACAGAGATTGACGAATTGAAACAGTCTGCGTACATGAAGACAAATTTTGAACAGGAGATTTCGTGACTACAAAAGGAGGTGAATATGCTTCGCGATCAGAATGAATGGGTTATTTCGGAGGCAGGGCAATGGAAGGAGCAAGCCTTACGCCCTGGCAACAAGCGTGGTAGCGTGGTGTTGCAGACACCAGACTGTTCCACTTGTAGCTCTCCTAAACCACGATGGACAGATAATGTAAGGGAGGAGGACAAATGGAAAACGTAGAATCTTCAGAGTCTGCATCGATTGGCCAACATTGAGGCAAAGACTCTTAAGGAGAAGCGAGCTGAAGCGGAGGCTCATAGAATTGAGGTCGAGAAACAGGTCAAGGCCTTGAAGGAGAAGATGGGCCAATTGATGGCAAGCGGGGAAAAAGGTAAAAAAAAGGTTGCGGGCGGTACAAACCTCAAAGATTGTCTTGAAGAAATTGCTATTCGATCCGTTCGAAAGGGAATCAAGGCGACTCTTGGAAGAATTGGTGGCAAGTCCACCTCTGTAGTTGCACGTTTGGATAAGGAACCTACTCCACGGCACACAGCCACAACGACCAACGACCGGGCCAAGTTTATTGAGGAGCAGAAGCGGCAACTGCGCATGTTGTGGAAAATCAGATTGGAACCGCTATGTAAGGAATAAGGGGTGAAATTAGGTAAGTTCGAGGACACCATCTGTGATCTTGTAGAAGCACGTGCCAGGAAAGCATTCGGCGAGGTGCCGGGTCCATTTTCCAAATGGGACAAAATGATGTGCAAGAGGTTAGTGATGATGTTTCGAAGAGCTTAGGTGATACCGAGGATGATGCGGAGAAGTCAGTCGAGCTATAGTGATTTTTTCCGAACGCATCTTCACTTTGGTCTTTGGCTAACGAGTGTCAAAGTAGTAAGAGGTTTACATATGGTTCTTCATCCTTGACCTTTTATTATACTGTCTCCTCGTCTGGTTTGGTTTCCCCACCTCTTTGCTCCACAAATTTGCTCGACTCTTTCTCCACCTTCGGATAGCTCGTCATTTTTTCTCCGTGATAATGAGTTTAATGTTTTTTTTAGATTGGTAGTGATCGACCTTATTCTCCGGGATCAAATTCCTTGGGCGTGGAAGTTCAAAGAGTATGTATTGAGACTACTTATAGATGGTTTTGACTTTGAAACCTCTCCTGGACCTCTCGTCTACGTTCTGATCTCGCCTTGGTCTAAGCATTCCTATGTTGGTTGAGGAGATGTCAAGTTGGTCAATATGTTGTTGTGCCACTGTTTGGGTGTGGGGTTGGGGAAGTTCGTGATCTGAAAAAGTTTGCTATTAGCAGGTTTCGTCCCCATCTGAATTGCAGCGATTTGAAACGACGAGGAAAGCGCCGGACACTTGGGAGGAAGGAAAGATTTAGGAAGAAACGAAATGCTAAGGTTACGACTTTGGCTTCCTTTCCTCTTACCCACCTTGTTTTTCACTCAACTATCGGGTTAATTTCTTACAGCCTCTCAACTATATTCAGTTCTTGTGTCGAGAGAAAAGTCTCGTCGGTCGGTATTGCTTTTATGTGGACAGGTCTTTGCCGAAAATTGGAAACTGACTAAGCGATGTTTTGGTTCATCATTGATTTGTTCCTCTGGGAACTATGAGTTGCTTAAGAAAGCTAAACATATGTTTCAACATGGGAAACTCTTGTATATCGTGGCTATTGTTCCTTTTTGACTCGTTTTGCTATCCTGAAGCCATCTCTGACTAGGTATCTTGCCGACCCTAGTTATAGGAAGGACCTGATGAAATTGAACTTTGCCCTTCTGGTACAAGCCTATTCTGGCGTGCGTTGCTTTTCTGAAAAGAGGTCGAGATATCTCCTACGTGTCATCCTATCAGGGGGTATTAAGCGGCGTTTTGGCGTCAATATTCGACGTCGGCTGGTGGTACGGATCACCTATGACGCTAGACTGAGTAACCCTGGTATTCGTTCACTATGTGCGGATATGGTGATGAGATTTCAAGTTGATGAAGATTGGAAACGTATGATAGTGCAGCGTATGCGTATTGTATGACTTAAAAGCAAGTGTGTGGGCGATCTGATTTTTAACTTTCGAGAGGCTGCTCGAGTGACTCGGAATGTTTGCAATTGCATGTCCTTGTCGGAAGAGTTTTCTCGTGTTAACGACGATGTTAACTTTCGTTTGAATGATTGGTCACCTGCCCCGGCCTCGCTCCGCAACAACAAGAACATGACTTTTCCGAGGTGTCTCGATGTCGTTGGTAGACTGCGGCATCAAATTCTATTGTCATTCTCTACTTTTGACTTTCTGTTCTTCCTTTGAATCGACGTTTTGCCGCTGACTGTTGTCCGCTTTTGGACGACTATTCCTATGACTGTTATGAATTGAATGCCACTCTTGGGTTAAGAGGTTGGAGGGATGGGTGCGAGTACCAATTAATCATAATCATGGTGATACCTACGTTTGTTGTCCGTGGTTGTATCAGGAAGGGACGAATACTCTATTTCATTGCAATTCGGGATTCTGCTTCATTGATATTGAAGAGAGGTTGCTTCTGCAACAGGCGAAGAAGTCCTATGAAAAGATGGGTTTGCAAAGGTTGGGAAAATGAGATTGTAAAGGTGAGATCGGTAAGTCTTATGTGATTCCGAAGCACGAGGATGTGTTTCGGTGGCGTCCTATTTATCCTTCTTTCAGCGAATGTCGTGTGCGTGGCTGTCACAAGATTTCCCACTCCGTGAATTCTATGATTTAGAGTTTACCGAAATTCTCCCACTTCAACTTGAAAAACTCTGATCTCTTGGTTGACTCGCTTAAGCTGGTGAATAAGGACTTGAGGGAAAGGGATGTTATTCTAACGACAACCTTTGATATTAAGA